GGAAGGAGGAAAAGAGCGTGGTGGTCTGAGGCCTTCTGTGATCCCGGCCATGCTAAATTCTGATAATTGTCTGATCCTCCAGGTTATCTTTAAATACATTCTTGACCTTCTTAGCTCAGCTCACTGCTGAGTCCAAGAGGATAGTTTTGACCTTCAAAACAAGAAGCTTAATACATTTAGTTCCTTTTTTTTTTTTTTTTTTTAAATTTAAGTGGGCTCCATACCCAACATGGGACTCAAACTCATGACCTTAAGACCCTCAGACCCTGGCTTTACTGATGGATCCAGCCAGGTGCCCCAGTTTTGATTTTCCTAAGTTATGAAAACATCCTCAGGTAGTTAAAATAATTTTGTCTCAATATTCTAAATCCAGGTATATCCAGAGTGTAGAATGTGATTTCTAGTTCCTTTAGGCTTTTTGAAATTACAGAGAAAAGAACCAATTTTCAGCCTTTTAGATCACATTTTCTTTTCTCCAGAGCCTTTTCTCTCCATGAGCTGAAAGACAAATGGTTTCTCGGGTCTACTGAAAGCTATCAAGATGTCACCCTACTCTCTCTCTAGTCTTAGGCATCTGGGCATATAGGCAGAAACCTCTTTCATCACCTGAGCAGACATTAACTAAAACATGGTCAGAGCCGGTGTTTGGCCTGGAGTTTAAGTCAGGCGAAGAGCTCGTGTCAGACTGAAGGCTGTATACAGGAAGTGAGAAAAGCTGTGACACCAGGCTAGCGTGTATTGGGGTATCTCGTTAAGTCCCGTTTATGGTCGTCCTGCTCACCTGCGTGACTTTGCTAAAGGGATGGTGACAGTCATTTGACCGGTATCTGTTTTATCACCTGTTGAGTTTCACTCATCATCAGCCAGCTTGCTCAATGCTCTTCCAAGCCACGAATCACATAACTCCTTCTAGAGTTATCTGTTCGGGGAGTAGTGACAGCCTTCCCGTGTCAAGCACTTACAGCCCACAGCTGCTTAGAGCCACCCAGGGTAGTTTACACAGTAGGAAGGGGGCTGTGTGCTAATTAATCCAGGCTATTCTTCAGAATAATTTGCTTTATATGCAATACTTTTTTGTTATTGTTTTTGTTTTAACAAAAAGTGTATCTGTAGATTTTCCATTGACTAGAAATATACTGAGTCTCTTTTTAGATTCTCTTAGCGCCTGTATATGTGGTAACTAGTACTGAAGGCTGGAGATTAACATAGATGAATTAAGATGTCTTGTTCTCAAGGGACAAGAAGATAAGACAGATATGAAGTTTTTAGGAGTGATTTAATGTGCTAAGTACATAGAGGGAGTGATCTCTGTGAGGTTGGGGAGATCATGGACTTCTGCTTGGAGGAGGTGGCTTTGACATGGATATTAACGATCCTAAGGATTCATTGTTAGAGCTGAAACAGAAAGGAGAGGGACATTTCAACAAATGGTGTAAGGTGAAAGAAAGTATGGAATTGGGATATTTTTGGTGAATCTGAATCCGGAAGCATGGGCAACATGGATAACATTCGTAGAAAGTTTGACTTCTTGAGCTCAGATCGTGGGAGGCCTCGGATGACAAGTTAATTAAGGGATTTATGTCATATAGGTGATGGTCACTGGGGATCTGTAGAGGAAATTGGAGCGAGAAGAGTGACCTGAGCAAAGTTTATAGGAAAAGTCCAATTTTGTCTGATGATGGTCCTTGCAGGGGTTGGAGAGAAAAAAAAAACAAACCAAAAAACAAAAAAAACTGGGGATGTAGAGACTTATTTGCAAGGATCTGGTGATAGCGTCCAGAGAACTCTTAACAAAGGTGGTAGTAAGGTCTGGAAAGAGTAAAGGGGAGAGAAGTTGTGGACGAATTAATGATGAGACTCCGTGTAAAGGTGTGTATCACAAAACAGGGTAAAGAAAAGGGGCAGGCAAAGATGAACTCTCTAGACACGTATGTGAAAAAACTGCCCAAAGCAGGCAAGTCGAGTGTCGGAAGTCATGAAAGATGGGAATGAGTTTGATGCGCTGGCGAAGCATTTGACTGAAATTTGTAGTGAGTGGTTAGTAAAGAAGGGCCGGTACTCCAGAATGGCACTGGGCCTTGGGAGGCAGAGCTAGAGCTGACGGGACTGGGGAAAGGTTTGTCTGATAGCAGGAGTTGGGATGAGGAACGTCAGTGTTTTAGAAGAGTTGTTAGGAGGTGAGAAGTCATGATGTGAAAATGCTACAGAGCCTTGGAACCAGGCCCTCCTGTCCAGTGAAGGAATGAGGACTATAAGGAGGCTCCCTGCTGCTGAGCAGGGCTAGTGCCCTGAGGGCAAGATGTCAGTGGGGGTGGGGGACCTTTGGGGCCAGGCTGGTGTTGGGGCAGATTGATGGGTGAGAGCGATCGTTTTTGTTTGTGATCAGTAAGACGGCTGCAGGAGAGTTCAGTGCTGTATCCAGCAAGCCGGCGGAGATCTGCAAGAGAGTGTTTGGGGCCAGAACTATATATACACACTCCGGCCGTTGAAGTGAATGAGGAACTGACTGATTAGGTAAAAGTGGAAGAGACAAACCCAGAAATTTGGAGTTACCCAGATGCAAAAGAGAAACAATGAAGGCTCTCTTGGATTTTATTGAAGGTTTACTGGTTAAAACCATACGAAACTAAAGGAAATCCCGTAGGAGCTCTGGAAAGAGGGTTTTAAAAGAAGGTAGTAGTCATAGTGTCCGGTAAGGTGGCCACACTGAGGGAGCTGAGGACTGAAAGGCCCTTGGAACTAGCTTTGGGTGGTGAGGGCTAAGGCTTCCTTGGAACTGCAAGAAGAATGGAGGGGGCGGGTATGGGAAGTGGGGCGTGCAGCCAGCTCCCACCCTCACATAACAGGCATTTTAAGTGGTGAACGTGCGTGATGGGTACGTTATGTTCAGTTAACTGTGATTCCTTTTTTCATCTGGTTTAGAGCTTTTCTGGAATCTTTGTTAAATCTCTGAGATCCCCCGTGGTCTGTACTCTTTTCATACAGCCAAGTGAAGACTGTTCTAAATATAATAGTAGCCCATAGACTGCTGTCTTCTCAGATTTGGTTCCGAATATGTGAATCAGACCTGAACGAAAAATCCAAGAAATTCCTCTCTTGACACCTGAGCGAAGAAGCCTAATTCTGGGAGCTGTTGTTTAGGCACCTTCTCCTGCTTCAGCAACAGCACTCTCTTGGTCTATCTGTTACCGCAATGTAACTTAAGGCTGACATCCCACCCTGCGATACAAGATTTCAGTTGTGAGGCAAAAAGTAAGAGGAGGGGGCTGGGACTGGCGGGTCATCCCAAAACACAATTAGCCTGGAGAGGGCTCTGGCAGTTGGAGGCACTAAGTCCTAGTCTTCTGGGCAGAATTTTGTTCCTAAAATTCCTCTGTCATTTGGTTGTGAGAACACCTTTGCCCCTCAGCGCACTGCTAAAGCCATCAACAGTGGACAAGTTCTCAAGAAGCCCTTGGCTGACACAACGTGTAAGTTCATTTGTAGACCCCAATCTCTGTTTCTCATCTTATTTTAAAGGAGACCAGTTCAGGATCTCAGGATCCCCCAGCACCTTTCCCCCTCAGTGATTCTAGGTGCCCCTTCTCCCCACTGGGTTTTTAGTTTAGTCAAACATTCTTTTCATCCCATGGGGGTGGACTCAGTCACAGAGACTAGGGCTCTGGTGGGAGGGACTTCACTGGAGGAATACCATGGACTGAGCTGGAGCTTTTAGTTGGGGCTGGAGGGCCTTCGAAAGGACGGTGAATAGTGTTCATAATTCACCAACAGGACAGATAGAGTAGCATTGTGTCCAAGGGCAAGTATGTCAGGAGAAGATGGAACTTATCCTGTGATATGCGAGGGTAAGAAGCCAGAACCTGTCTTTTTTTTTTTTTTTTAATTTTTTGCTCTTTGTATTAATTCCCATGTAATTTAATTCTTACAGCAGCCCAGAGAAGTGAATAGGTCCTATGCCCATTTTACAGATAAATTGGTTGAGGTTCAGCAAATTAAGGAAATTGTAGGTTACATGGCAGACAATTGAACAGGGCTAGGATTTGAAGTCGTTTTGCTTGATTGAGAATTCCTTTTCCCATACCACATTACCCTTCAAGAGGGACAGAAGCAGAACATGTTTATATGTAGACAGCTTTTTGTATATTTGTATCGGAAAATCCAAGACCATGTGTTGTATTTCTTTGATTTTTCTTCCCCCTTTGTTTCTTGTCTGTGATTTGTTCTTTCGGTTGACACACTGCCACCCACCCCAGGGGACAGACTGGGTCTGTTTGCATCCAAAGTAGAGAAGTTTCAACATTCCCTGGGTGAGCTCTGTGTGCGCGCGTGTGTGTGTGTGTGTCTGCCACATTCCTTCCCTCCGGAGGCAGGCGGAGCACAGCTGTGGCTCTCAGGCCTAGAGCACAGCTGTGGTCAGCCGGCCAGCTGATACGCAGCACATGGTGTCACCATCTCATTACTCAAGTGTGTCCAGCTCAAGCTGCTGCACGGTTTGGCGTTGGTCCGGGCCATGGTTAGGAGAAGAATTCTGTGCACTTTACAGGAACAGTTTCGCAATGCCTCATATTCCATTTGCCACACGTTCTCATAAAACTGCCATGAATCAAAGCGTGTTTGCATAAAGCCACACTGCTTGTTGCCAGCTTCATGTACTAATCCCAAGAAATTGCCATTATTATTTGACCTTGGGGCTTCCCTTGCCCCTGTGTTTTCATCTTGATTTTAAAGCAGCTAAGTTGAATATGATGCATATTTTGTTCAACTAATAACTTAAGAATCGAAAAGAGGACAGCGAGGGCAGCAAATCAGTAATATATTTGGTGGTGATGGCAGTAGGTTATACTTTGAGAAAAATAACTGACTTATTGACAACAGCCAAGAATAGCAAATGTAAATTCTCCTTACTTAGATATCTTTTTATTAGGCTTCTTTTTCTTCTTCTTTTTATTTAAAATGGTGAAATGAAACTAAGAGCATTTCCCTTTTTTGCTATTTTGCAGAAAAAACCACTGTCTGCAATAATAAAGGAAGTCTGTGATGGGTAAGTATGACTTAGGGTTCATCAGCGTTGCCTCAGTCCACAAATTGAGAAGCTAATAAAAGATTCCCGAGCTATTATAAAATATTATTCCTAAGCCACTCCCTGACCTGCCCAAAGACATTACGAATTGCTATGTAAGATACACATGCTGTGTAAGATACACATCTTTTTTTTTTTTAAGATTTTATTTATTTATTTGACAGAGAGAGAGATTACAAGTAGGCAGAGAGGCAGTAGAGAGAGAGAGGAGGAAGCAGGCTCCCTGCTGAGCAGAGAGCCCAATGCGGGGCTCGATCCCAGGACACTGAGATCATGACCTGAGCCTAAGGCAGAGGCTTAACCCACTGAGCCACCCAGATGCCCCTACGTGCCCTCTTTTACCAAAAAATTACTTTTGTTCCTCAAAGAGCAGAAAGTGTGAAATGGCTGGGGTATGCACACTGGGATCCCTTTTATTTATTTTGAAAAGTTGTGGTTCATTCATCCTACCCAGCAGGGAGCAGTCCAAAGTTCCTGAGGTTAAATACACACCTCATCTGATAGAAATCGAGAGGACCATTTAGGTTCCCATAGAAGATAAAAGAATTTTAAAAGACAAGGCTGCGTGTGGTTTGGTGGCCGCAGGAACTTCCCAGTGTTAGGGCTTTCCTCCTTGTCTTTGGCCGCCTTAACAATCCAAAGGAAAAGCATGTAGAGAAATTTCATGTTTTTCTGCTTTCAGAGCAGAATTACGAAGCGAGTCTTACTTGGAGTTTATTTAAGACCCCGGGGTACTTAATTGGAATGTTTCCATCTGCAGCAAGCATACTGACTGGGGGATTGTGGAACACAGAGGCAGTGGGAAGGAAACAGTTACCAAAAATTTAATGGTATTCATTTCTGTTGTTTTCCCTCTTTTTGCTCCAAGCCTCCAAAATGGAGAGGAATGTAACTTTGTGTTTAAATGCCCCTGCTCAAAGCCCTAAAGATGAAATATTCCAGACACTAGGCATGGAACACGACCAAGAAGACCAAGATCATCCACATAGGAAATGGTTGGTCAGGCTGGTGTCCTCTTGTTTTAGGCTCACATTGTGGGGTGTGTTGGGTGTGGGCCAATTTCAAGTGCAGGATGCTTCATTCATCTAACTGTGTCATGCTATAGAAATGAAAATGACCATCGTTTGTTTTTCTCATCAGTTCGTGCTTCTGTTTTTAAGGTGGTCCCTTGCCAACCATGAGTACTTTGCACTGCAGCATGCCGATAGTTCAAACTTCTACATCACCGAAAAGGTAGGTCAACCACATTGTTTGATCGGGGACACTCGTACCTAAAAAAATTGAAAGCATGACTGATATTTCCTCTGTTCAGGACTAGATGAGACATGGTGCTCCAAATTTTAAATCTCTATGGTCCATGAAAATAGAGTGTACAGAGCAAACAATGCTGCTTTAGTATCAATAAGGCAACGTTCCATTAGCCACTGCCCTTGCCATCGGACAGTGAATTCACTAATTATTTTTCTTTTCTTTTTTTTAAAATTATTATTATTTTTTAAAATTTTTCTTTCTTATTCCCTGGAGAAATCATTTATTTGATGGTTTAATGACTCCTTTCTTGGACTTTTTTTTTTTTTTTTTCTCCTGAAGAACAGTCTCTATGTCCTATTTAAAGTAGTTGAAACAGTGACAAGAAACCATTTCAAAGGTGGCGTTGTGTAGACATGGATGGAGTATTCTGTGGCTCCTGGGAACTTGGTTTCTTCTTGGGGGATTTTTTTTTTCTTTATTCTTTAAGAAGCTTGGAGGAGAGGGAGTGGGTGAAGACTACAGTGGTTCTGGCAGCAATAAAAACTAGGTCTTAGGGAGATCCTCGATGGGAGAAGAGAAAGCTAGTATTTATTCAGCACCTATTGTGTGCCAGGAATTGGGCCAGTCCCATTGTTTATGGGTTTCTTTCTCAAGACTCACCTGTGTTATACACAATACTGGCTTTGGTTAACAGATAAGAAGCTGAATCATAGACGTCCGATGGCTTCGCCAATATCCCAGGGGTAGTAAATGAGAATCAAAAAGGAAGTCCAGACTTGGTGCTTCTGTCACTTTGCCTTTTGGGAATTTCTAGAAGAGCTTAGCATTTAGCTTAGTGTTATGGAGAATTCACCGAAATACACAGAGCCAGTCCTGTCCTCGTGGAACTTTATAGCCTTGTGGGGTGTGGTGGGGAGGGAAGGGTCAACTCTGTGAACAGTTTTCTTTACAATAAGGTGGCCAGTGCTGGGAGAGAAATGAGCACAAAGTGTTCCCGGAGGAGGGGACATTGGGTAACCTCAGGCCCCAGGCTTTGTTCCTCCCAATGAACAGTCTCTAGAGTGACTGTGAATTTATCTGTGAAGTAAGTGGTGGTGGAAGGAGGAGGCAATGACAAGGTTCCTGTTCCTCTGGAATAGGACTTGCTCTCCCCAGAGGAGTGTGTGTGTGTGTGTGTGTGTGTGTGTGTGTGATGGTGGGAATCTGAGGGGTGACCTTCAGTCCAGCCCAGACAGAGTATAGCCAGAGGTCTGGAAATCCTTCCTAGAAATTGCTTTGTTCTTCCCAGATGGATCCCGGAATGTTCATAACTGATCAGGTATTCCTCTTCATACTAATTGACAGAAAGCTCAGAGTAAACAAGTAGACTAGATTTCCCGGCCTGTGTTATGTTTAATTTTGCTTATTCCTTTGATTCATTCCACAAACAGTTAATTTCCTGTCTTTATTTTCCCTCAGCTTCATTTTCTCAATGTTTTCCATTTATTCTATCCTGCATTTATGTGCTCTGCGTGCTATGCTCTGTGAGATAAAGAGGATATAAATAAATAAGTTAAGCGTTTGCTGCTAAATGTATTGCTGTGGCTATCTTTAAGCAGAATTCTGCCTCATTTCAACTTGGTTCGACTTTTAGAGATAATTCGAATATTGCAACTTTTTGGCGGTATTACTGGAAAAGCTTGGATGGGTTTCTGCTATTTGGAGCATAATATGAGAAAGTGTAAAAATTATTAAGAGATGCAGGTATAGGGCAATAGAAGTTAGAATAAGGTTTTTCAAATATCACTAATTAGTGGGTGGTGATATCAATTTTGTTGGCTGTAATTGTATTAAAAATGAGAATATATTTAATAGGATAGATCACACCACAACACCTATGTTGTTTGCAAATCCTTGTGTTGTATACACACACACAATACATATATGTTGTGCTGGGGTTACCCCCCTGGGTTGTGGTCAAGCCACAACCCAAAGTCACGACATCACAAATATCCCTGCCTTTGATTCATCTGTATTGGCTGTGTCCCCTGGGCTTGTTCTATCTTCTGTCCTCATTGTCAGGAGACCTTAGTTTGCTGGAGATTACTACGATGAGCTTGAAGGGAGAACCTGTCAGAAATGTACGTTTTCAGATCCCACCCCCAGAGACTCAGACTGAATCGACCTTGAATATGGCCTAGGATTTTGCATTTTTTAGAGCCTTCCTAGAATTCTAATGTGGAAACCCCAGGGCCACTGGGAGGAATACAGATCTTGGGCTGCTTTTCAGTACCAGTACCCTGTGTACCAGACAGAGGGCATCGTCAACACAAGTTATATACTAAGTTTGACTTAGGAGTGTATTTGTGTGCAGCTAATTCTTAGAATAACATAAAAAATCAAATAATATTTATGGTTCTGTTCTAGTTAAAATTAATGTATACTCAGAAAATTAGAATTCCTTAGAACTGTGGGAAAATTGTTATTTTATTAGGCATCCCAGTCATTTTTTTTTTCTTAAGATTTTATTTATTTATTTGACAGACAGAAATCACAAGTAGGCAGAGAAGCAGGCAGAGAGAAGAGGAAGCAGGCTCCCCGCTGAGCAGAGAGCCCAATGCAGGACTCGATCCCAGGACCCCGGGATCATGACCTGAGCTGAAGGCAGAGGTTTTAACCCACTGAGCCACCCAGGCACCCACCCCCAGTCATTTCTTTTTTAGAAAATGTTGCATTGCCTGAGGAAACTGGTAATGTTGAGTTTGAAAGGGACTGCCACCCAAGTCTGTCACCCAGTCTGGTCATCTTCAGTGGGCGCTAGCCGAGATTCTTCTTCTATGAAGCATTTAGGGAGTGAGAAGACACATCCTCCCACTCATTGCCCTTTGTTTGTAAATAAAATGTCATCACTCTTCCTCCTGCAGCTGTTCCTGGGCACAGCTGTGTGTGCATGTGACACAGAGCTTGACTTGACATGCCTGGGGCAGGAGAGGGACCTCGGATCCTGGGACACAGGGACAAACCAGGGCTGCCTCTAGTCTGTGTTAGGTCCATCTAGTTCCTTGCAAGTGCTCCTATAAATAGAGCCCATTTTCCATCTTGAAGTAATGTATTTAGTATCATCTTGGTTACTTATAGCCCAGTGAGTTGTTAGGTAATATTTGCATCACCATGGTAACCAGTGACTAATTTTTGAAAGTTATGCATGTTCTTCTTAGTTACTGATTTTCTCTTGCCTGTGAGGTGGTCTCCCTCCCTCTGCCAGAGATAAAATATCACCTGTAATTTTAAAAAAGAAGAAGAATTCTCCAGGCTCGACAAGCTAACACATTTTGTGACTGATAGATGGGTGCTTGGGACTCTCATTCTAAGAGCCCCAGGAAGGTACCTCCCCTACGTTTCTCATGTTATCCAAGCATATTTTCCAAAATAGTCTTCACTTGCTTATTGGGTCATTAACTTTGGTTTTTCAGTGCAGTGGGAGAGATTGTCATGTTGTTGGGCAAGGCTCAGTAATAGCATCACATGCAAATGCCTTATAGAATGTTATGAGTAAGCTACTCACAAATTCAGATTCTGCCCCCAAAACTTTTATATTTCAGGGTGATGTCCCTGGGGGGGGGAGTTGGGAATAAAAAATAAATAAAAAATGAATTGTCTATCTTTATGTCTATCTTCAGTTTTATGGAAGTATAATTGACAAATAAGATTGTAAGGTATTTAAGTGTACCTCATGGGGATTTGATGATATGTATACACTGTGAAAGGATTCCCCCCATATAATTAACACATCTATCACCTTACCTATTTATTTATTTATTTGGTGGAATCATTTAAGTTCTACTCTCTCAGCAAATTTCAGTTACATAATATAGCATTATCAACTGTAGTCATCATAGTTTACCTTAGAGTCAGACGTTGTTCATCTTGTAGCTGAAAGTTTCTGTTCTTTTACCAGTGTCTCCCTATCCATGCCCCCTCCACTCCAGCTCCTGGCAATCACTTTTCTTTTCTTCAAGATTTATTTATTTAGTTGAGAGAGAGAGAGAGAGCACATGAGCGTGAGTGGGGGGAGGGGCAGAGGGAGAGAAATCTTCTAGTAGACTCCCCGCTGAGTGCAGAGCCTGACACAGGGCCCCACATCACGACCCATGAGATCATGACCCAAGCCGGAACCCAGAGTCAGACACTCCACTGACCAAGTCACCCAAGCACCCCAACCACTCTTCTACTCCTGGTTTCTGTGAGTTTGACTTAAGGGATACCATGTAGTATTTGTCTTTCTCTGTCCCACTTACCTTGCTTAGCGTAATGCCTTCAAGGTCCATCCATGTTGTTGCCAATGGCAAGCTTTCCTTCTTTCTCATGGTTGAGTAATATTCCGTCGTATACACGCACCACCTATTTTTTATCCATGTGTTGACAGACACTAAGGGTGTCATGGCTGTCATGAGTAATGCTGCAATGAGCATGGGAGTGCACGTGTCTCTTTGATAGCTTCTTTTCATTTTCTTGGATAAATATTCAAAAGTGGGGCTGCTGGTTCATATGGTAGTTTCATTTTTGAAATTTTGAGGAAACTCTATATTATTTTCTCTATTGGCTGCACCAGTTTACATTCCCACCAGTGGTGTCTGAAGGTTCCCTTTTCTCCACATCCTGGCCAACACTTATTTATGCATTTGATGAGGGCCATTCTCACAGGTGTGAGGTGATACCTCATTGTAGTTTTGATTTGCAGTTCCCTGAAAATGAGTGAGGTTGAGCACCTTTCATGTATTTGTTAACCATCTGTATGGCTTTGGGAAAACGCCCATTCAGTTTCTCTGCCCATTTTTTAAGAGGATTGTTTGGGTTTTTGGCCATTGAGTTGTATGAGTTCTTTGTATATTTTGGATATTAACCTCTTATCAGATATATGATTTGCAATTGTTTTCTCCCATTCCATGAGTTCCCTTTTCATTTTGTTGATGGTTTCCTTTACTATGAAGTAGGCTCTTCAG